AAGCCTGACAGCTTTCAGAGCTCCCAGAAAACTATCCCAGAGAAGAAGACTTTATGCCTTTATGGTTTGCTCCAGTGGCTCATCAACCTTGCTCCTGAAAACCTGCACCTCAACTTCAGCCCTATGGGATACTGCATTTTCTTTTTAATTTAATTAATTTTAATTTAAAAAAGAAAAAAAAAAAAAAAGGAAAATACTGAACTGGAGAAAATATGAAACAATCTGACCAAGCCTCACTGAGATGTCATCAAAGACAGGCAGCAATTGCTGGTAATGTCAGCAGAAACTCAAAAATCAGACAAACCCCTCAATCATCATAGGGGCACTGAGCCAAGGAAAACACAAATATCAACGTCTTTCTTTATGTCTCGAGAACTTTGAAAATCAGAAGGGAAAAACCGAGTAACTTACACGATGCCTCAAGTTAAATGGCTAAACAGGGATGATCTGTTGTGTGAATCCAACATGAGTGCTTTTGGCACCCAGCTGATGAAAACACAGGATCTTTGACCAGAGACAACCAGATCTTGAGCCCTCTGGAACCTCCCAGCAGCACCTCCCCTCTAGAGAGGGGCCCCTGCCAGGACCTGTCCTGACCACCAGCACCTTCTCACTGGTGGCAGCCAAGGCTGGCCCAATGCACAGCCCCCACGAGGGTCTGACCACCCAAACAGAGAGAGAGCAGGAGGTGGATCAGCTCATGGAGAGCCAGCGTGAGGCTGCACGGAGGGAAAGGCACCGTGAAGGACGTGAGAGGACAGAGACGCAGCAGACGGCACGTAAGGGTTTGTGACGATGCGTGTGTTTGTGTGCACGTGGGTGTGTGAGAAAGAAAAGAGATGTGAGAGGAGGACGAGCAGTGACTTCATTTCACAGCATGAACGAGCACGTACTGCTGTGTGGAAGAGCCATGGAGAGTGCCAGGAGCCCATCAAATGGCATAAGAGTATGGAAGTGACACAGACAAACCAAAAATTACCGCAGAGCCCCTGAGAAAAACAGAACCGCCCATATGTTTTCTCTATACTGTATTTTAGGAAAGTACTGGAAACTTACTTGAAGCGTATTTGTCTTCCCACCCAGCTCTCACTATGTTATGGTTATATCCATGCAACTCCCTCTGTTATCCTTACTAAGCTTTAAGGAATCTACCACATCATTTTTAAGGACAGCACCGGTATTTTCATAGTTACTAAGTTTGAGCCTTTCTAAATACTAGGACTTCATCATAACTCTGATGCCAATTAGGCTTAATTACAGATATATTAGAAATGTTGGGTTGATCTAATTAGGCAGATCAAGTGATGGAACCTTCCTCTTTCACTACTGGATGACATGATGTTTGTTATTATTTCTCGGATGTCAAAATCTAAGGTTTAAAAGGCCTTAGACATAATATACTTTAAATGTGGAGGGGAAAAGTGATATTTCTGTGATCACTCATCAGATTCCTGCTATTGTGAACCTTCCCATCTCTCAAGGGCTGGGACAGAAATCCCCCTCTCCAGGCAGGCCCTCAGTTCCCCTCTCAATTTGTCTTCCAGGGGGAACTGAATGGAGCTACAATAGGTGAATTTATGGAAATTTAAAGACAGAAGACTCAGATCCTCTTCTTTCCTCAAGCACACCTGACTTGGAAGGGTCTCTAAATTACATTAGCTGAGGATCTGGCCCATTGCTATGATTTTATTTTATCTTTGATTTATTTTGCTTATTTTTGCCTAGCTACTTTTTCAGGACCTGTAATTTCACTGTCAATAGCTTAGCAGCAAACTGGTCCAGTTTCCAAGAAGGTGCACTCAGTGAACCTATGCATATGGAGTGTGGTTCACTGTCCTACATGGACTGGCACAGCCCAAGAATGGATCAAGACCATCATACATATTGTAATATAATAACATATAAACCTTACCAAGAATCATGTATTAAAAATATATTAATATTGATTAGTATTATCAAAATCTTTTGTTGACATTCTGATACCAGAGAAGTTGCAAAAGAAGATTGCACATGCTTTAACATCTGCATAAATACAGAACAGGGTAAATACAGGTTTGGGTACATCTGAGCCAATCACTGCATTGCTGGTACTTCTTTAGAAAAACATTATTGTCCAACAGCACAGAGCAGAGCAAACAACATAGACCTCAGCCACCAAAGGAAACAATTATTTGGGTGGAAAAGGGCTGTTTTCTTACATCTGGACATGACATCCAATTCAATTTCAGCATCAATGTGGCTGGACATGATTTACAGGGATGTGTAAATAATTTATTCCAGCTCTGGAAGGGAGAGCTGGGTACTCATTAGCGGTTCCTTGAAGCCCAAATGATGTAATGATTAACTGACTTAGGATCTTTTTTATAATTCCAGCAAATTTCAACTCTCCCATGTTAAAGATCCACGGAAGAGCTTTTATTCAGATGAAAGGCTCTTTTCTGAGAACAAATCATTAATAAGGTGTACACACAGATTTAACATTCACAGATCAATGCACTTGAAATAAAATATGCTTTTAAAGTTTCTTTTTCATTTTCTTCCCTGATTTGGGGGTTTAGTGTTTTCCTTTCTCTAGCCAATTTTACCACAGGCAGTTAAGACAGCTGCATGAAAAAGGGCTGTTTTTCTGTTAAAAGTGCTTTTAGCACTTTGGCATCCTGAAATGGAATTGCAGAGAAATGTAAAATACAGCTACTACAATCCAGTACATTTCATGTGACATGCCAAGTTTTTCACTCCATGCTAGAGAAAAATCTATTAGCCAGTGAGATCAAGTGTTGGCTGTCCAACATGGTTCAGCATTACAGTGCAGGAGGGATCAAAGCAGATTTTAACCCTGTTCCTAAATAAAGCCGAAGGAAAACATTTTGGTACAAATACTTTAAAGCTATTTTTACTCATATAGCTTCATTCCTATCTAAATACTTTATCAATAATTGAGAATGTTTCTCATCATTTAGGCTCCTGGACCTTGTGTATCTGCTGCTCAAGTCTGTGAACCACCCTTCCCTGCCTTCAGTGGAAATGGCACAGGCACTTTAATGATTTGCACAGCAATGTCCTAAATTCTTTAGAAGTTTCACGTCCTGGTAAGTCACACCAGACCTGGTAGGAACTGCAGGTGCTGTGCTGGTGGGTGGCCAAGGACAGAACCAAAACTCAGATTCAAATCTTCTAATTATCAGCCTGCCCTTGGAAGCTAAGGAATGCACAACCAGAAGGCAGCCCACGTGTAGGCTGTTAAACACACATATATTCATAATTAAATACAGCTAAGTCTGAAAAAGAAAATAGTTCTATTTTCTTTTTATGGGCCCAGGTTTGTAATCCAATTATTTTAATTTTCTAATACTTTCTAAATTGACTGTTAAATCAAGTTTAAAAACTTCACAGCTCCCACTCCCATTAGAAAGGACTTACCAAACTGTGAGGCTCAGACAATGGTTAATAGTTTGAGACACTAATTGGCCATATTTAATGAATTTAATTTGCAACAGCCATGCTAATATGCATAACTATTAACTCTGACCAGCTTTACCTTCCCTGGGACCTACACCAGCTCCCATTAACTACAGTGGGATCCGGATCAAGACCACAGCATTAATTCTTCCTGAACCTCTTCAGCAGCCCAAATTAACCCTCGCAGGTGGCTTCAACACCACAAGCACAGAGATGACAGAGAGCTGTACAATGGGAACCCCACTGAATTGTCCTGCTGCTCCAGCAAACCTCAGAGCATTGAAACTTTCCTCCCCAACACCCCTTTGCTCAGGAAGGGAGCTGCACGCCTACGGTGACAAAGCAGAGCACGTCTCTCCCAGCATGAAATTCCCACAGCAAAAACTCAATGAAGGTGACAAGAATACATCACAACACTTGGCTCTTCGCTGCATTTTGCCTCATCAGACACCTGGACAGACATTAATTTGATTTACTAAGTCTGCTTTCCTGAGGGCTGTGCTGTCAAGCCCATCACGGCGCAGCTGCTGACCCACCTCCATGTTAAACCACCAGCCTGGTTCCTACTCACAGCCTGTTTATAGGAAACCAGCGAGCCCACGAACCAGAAATACTCTGTTTGTAGGGAGCCCTCCCTTGGAAGCAGAAAGAAACTCAAATATTACAGTCAAAACTTGTTCAACTGTGTTTTGGAAGTGGCACGGAGCGTAGGAAAAGCACTACTCGGGATTAACAACGCTTCGTTTTGAGACACGCTTTAAGTTTCAATGAAAAGCGGTGGGGACACAGCTACGAGGAGCACTCGCAACACAACCCAACTCTAATTACAATGTGTACACACACAGCAGCCCGTGCGCTGGCTCCTTCAGCACTCCCGGCTCCCTACCTTTATAATATCCTGAGTGCGAAAATTAGTTTTAACAAAAATAAAACTCTTTACTCAGCCAAAAAGACACCAGCCTGTACCCCGCTCCCTTGCACCATCTGTGCGTGTTTTTCCTCAGCCTTAAAAAAAAAAAACAACAACTCTAACGTTTTACTAATCTTTATGCCCCGCCACTATAAATAAAACAAATAAAGCCCAACAACAGTTAAGCATCGTAGCTAAAACACATCCAATCCACTCCGATTATTTCTGCTCGTCTGTCCACGAATAGCTGCAGCCATCGGCTTTAGAGGAAGCGTGCAAGTCAGACCGCATTTATTTACAGTTGCACTATCGAGAAAAAAACCTTTCCCTGTCTCCTCGTTCTATGAATATTTTAAAACACTTGGGGTTTTTCCTTTTTATGTTTTTTTGGGGGGTATGGGGGAGGGTAAGGGGTGATGCTAGCCCCGCTCCTGCCCCACAATTCTGTTTTTCTCCGTGTTCCCAGGTCACTCCGACTTCTTGCTCGGATGGATGCGCGGGGCGCGGAGCAGCACCCGCGGGTGCGCAAATCCCCGCGCAGGGACCCGCACCCACCCGCGGGGCGACCGCACATCCCCGGGGGAAGGGACAGCACCCGCCCCCGGCCCCGCAGCCAAATCCCGCCACCTACGTCCCCAGCGTCTCCTTGAACTCGAAGATCTTCTTGATGTCCTCCGCCTGCTTCTTCCAGGAGCCGCCGCCGTCCCCGTTCTCCCGGGCCATTGCCGCGCAGCCCCGCGGATGCCGCGCCGCCGGCTCCGAGCCCTCGGGCGGCTTTTGCTTTCTTTTCTGCCGCGGCGGCAGCGGCTGCTGCTGTTTCTTCTTCTTCTTCTTTTTCCTCCTCCTCCGCCTCCTTCTTCTCCCCTTCCTCCTCCTCCTCCTCACACTTCCTGCCCGCCGCCGCTTTTATTTCCTCTGCGCTCCGGCGGGCTCCGCGAGTGTCACTTTTCCTGGGCTATTTCCTCCCAACTTTCTCTTCCCCCCCTTCCCTCCCCTCCTCTCCCTTCCTCTGCTCCCCCCCCCCCCCCCCCCCGCGGAGCCGCTGGCAGGGCTGCCCCGTCTCTCCGTCCTCCTGCGCCCCGCGCAGCAGCTGCGCGCACCCGCGTCCTGGGGTCACTTTGCTCCCTGACTGACCCACCCCGCCGAAAAGTCCCTCTTTTTTTGTTTGTTTTTCTTTTCTTTCGTTCTTTCTTTCTTTCTTTTTTCTTTTTTTTTTTTTTTTTTT